ACGGCTGCTACAAAAGTCGCGTCGCCCTTTTCCATCACAGACGGAAGCACGTATTTGGATCCAAATATGCGACACAGGTCTTTGTACATTATGATGTACAAGTTTTTTACAGTTTTTAGAGGAGTCAAGTCTCCCCCAATCTTCTCTCTTATATCAGTCACTATCTGCTGAAAATTCAGCTTTACAGCAGTTGTTTGTGTTTTCTCAGAAACGTGAGCGACTAAATTTGCAAGACACAAAGTGAGAAAGGTATCGGTCTCTGCGGGCGCAGGAAGCGCCCCAGACGAGCACTGCGGGGCGTCGCTACATTTTTCTTCACTCTCTGAACTCTCACGGTCAAGACTTTGGACATCAGTGATTTGAAATGTATCACTGTTGCCCTCGCTACCCACATCTCCCTCACCTACACAAGCTGGAGTCTGTGTGCTTTTAAAAGTCTCTGCAGACTCTGGTTTAAAGTCGTCATCTTCCTCAGAGTTTGGCGAGTCAACAATGCTGTAGCTGCGACTCTCACCATCTACGAAAGGGGGAGCTAAGGTCTTTGTAAAGTCCTGTAAAATGTTCGCTACACTGTGAACCATCCCAACAAAGTTTGTTGGGGATGTGGATCTATCTGATTGCAAGGATGTGGACCCTGTGATACGACTCAGGGCTGAGTTTACGTTCTTTGCAATCGACACTGAAAATAAAGTCAGTAGTTTGTCTGAGTCACAAGACCGCCGTTGCCCAAAACCCAAGACCCAACGAAGCAGTGATGAAAGATGTTTCTGAGGCTGGCCTGAATATCATCCTCTGTCACCCTGCAGTAACTGCACCCATCAAGCAGAGGTTCAACCTTCATCCTGAAAAGGGAGAGAAGAGAAACGTAGTCAGTCATTTTCCCACACTATCACTGTTTTGTGTGGTAATCACTGGGTTTTTCAACAGGACAATGGAGAATAACATCACTGTTTGGGACCATCCTGCATGTTCCTCTGATCTAAATCCAACTGAGAAACTTTGGGGATGGACGGCAAAGGAAGTTTACAAAAATGACAACAGTTCGAGGCAGCAGACGCCCTTCATGCTTCCTCTTCTGTCTCGTTCACATTTCTTCTTGTTGCAGAGACACCGATGTGTCTCTGCACTAGCTGATGTGAGCAAACAAAGCCCTTTCCACAGTCAATACAGTCTTACCTCGCTGGCATCATTTCTAACCAGTCAAGACTGTTGACAAGCTGAGCTTGAGCGCCAAACGCTACCACGTTGCTATGGAAACTGTTTACGAAGACCTTGAAGCCTCTTTTTAAAAGATGGAGTGGGCGGCGAGCGTTGGCTGTTCACGGCTCGACAGCTCTCTCCCTGCTTCGCTGTTTGAGACCTTTTTCTGCAGCAAAACAAGCGTAGCACGGTTATTTCAGGCTGACAGAGAGCATCCATCAGTCAGCTCACACTCCTGCCACAGAACAAAACACCCTGCTGTCTGTGAAGGCATGAAGCTATACCACTATGGTGGAGAGGTACATACTCTGTTTAGGTTATAGCTGTTACTCAGTCACCTGATTGTGTTGGCAGACGTGGTGACGGTCCAGGCCATGTCTGCTGCTCCTCCCTCTCTGTCCCAGCATGCTCAGCATGCAGCCAGAGAAACTTGAGCTCTGCCTGCTGTTCTCTATCCTTCTGTCTCTACAACAGAGGAAACACTTCCCTGCTTTTCTTTCTGTGTGTTTATCAGCAGGTAATGTTCTGCATGAATGAAAGCATGCTCAGTCTTTGTTCTGCCAGCTTTCTTCACTGTGTCCACCTCACGTTTCCTGAGCTCAACACATGTGGTGACACATTAGTGTAAAACAGCTGGTTCAGAATAATCACTGTAGTCGTGTCTTTGTGAAACCAAAGCAGTTTTGTAAGAAGGATAAATGTATCAGGCATGTTTCCAACATTTTACTAATAACTTACCCACTGACTTAAACTCAAACTACACTTCCTCTGTTTATCAGCAGCTCTTTGCAGCTACTTGTTACTGTTCAAAGCACATCTTTCATGGTTCATCAAACACAGCACAGCTACGGTTACAATGTTTCAAACAAGGACAGCAGACAGCATTGGCATGATGTTAAATAGTTTGGTAATTAGGCAAACACGTTTAAGATGTGGTATCTGCAGAGAGGGTACGCAGTGACAGCAGAGATGCTGCAGCTCGCTGACATGATTACAGGTACTAACTCAGTCTTTCCTCTTTTCTGGCAGTTCATAAGAAACAGAAAAGAAACACTTTCACCTCTTTAACTGTTCTTTCCCAGGTTTTTGTGGATTCAGGTGCTGCTTTTCAGTAACGTCTGTATTGTCATGTGTTCATGCACAGGTGGCTTTTCACATACAGCCATACAAGGGCCGGACGGACCAGAGCATGTATGACAACATCAAATACATTGTTGACAAGTAAGCTGTTTTTCTGTGTGTCCCATTACCTCTGAATGATCAAGCTGTCTGTGTCAGTTGGTGCTAACATTAAAAGCCCACACATGTGATGGAACATGAACCCTGATAGATGAGGAACAAGTCATTAAATATAAATGCCCAGCCTGTGATCTCACAGATCAGCAGGTTTCTGCTCCTTCAACTGATTAAAAATGACTGAAACAAACCTTTGTTCTGCAGTCTCATAGTACTCCAGTGTTTGCAGAAGTCAAGCATCATAGAAAGTAGTTTTTAAAGTGCAATATTATAAGATCATTGGTACAAATCCTTTACTTTTGATTTCCCAAAAATATTGGCACTGATATTTGTGTGAAAACCGCTGCGATGACCATCTGCATATTAGGACACAAACTCGAGAGTCAGTAAAGCTCATGATGTGTTAGACTCCAACATGTTAAACTGCATGTTAAACACACCATGAAAACAAGTGTAGGCATCAGACGCAGAGCCGTCCGCACATTCATGCTTTGCAGCATCTACCTCTTTATTCACAGTTGTTGTTACGAACACGGCTGCAGCTTTCCAGCTCGCACACAAACATACTAAGTTAATATACTGTGTTGTGTTGTTTGTTACGTTGTGATGTGTCATATCGTGTCGTGTTGTGTTATATGTAGTGCCGACGCAGGACAGTTTTTCCAATTTCATTGTACTACTGTACTATGTATGACTGTGCAATGACAATAAAGAGTTATCTTATCTTATCTTATACACGCGAACAACGACAATATTAAACAGTCAGCACAGACTTTTGAGGCGTGATTGAAGATGCCGTGCAAGTCGCGGTGCCGCAGACACCCCTGCAGCGGCACCGCAGACCACACCCCGCCACAACAAGGTTTGGACAAAATAGGCGTCTAAGCTGGTGTACTGACCCTGGATCAGCTGACCAGAGGACCCATGAAGTGTCTGATTTCCTGTCCTGTTAGACAGCTCACATATATTTGCAAAGTGAACCAGAAAGACGCTTCAGAAACATGCTGTGATTCGTTCATTTGGTGGCACCGCCCTCCTTATAAATCACATCAACCGCCCCTCCCTGAGCCTGCTTCTGCCGGAGGTTTCTTCCTGTTAAAAGGAAGTTTTTCCTTCCCACTGTCGCCAAAGTGCTGCTCATAGGGGGTCATATGATTGTTGGGTTTTTCTCTGTATGTGTTATTCTAGGATCTACCTTTCAGTATAAAGAACCTTTAGGTGACTGTAGTTGTGATTTGGCGCTGCATCAATCAGATTGAATTGAACTGAATACAGCAGCTTAACACGTCTCATTTTTCTCAGGTATGGAAAACATGGCGCCTTCTACAAATTCAAGTCGAGCACCGGGCGAGTACTGCCTCTGTTTTACATCTACGACTCCTACCTGACACCGCCCGAGTCCTGGGCAGAACTTCTGACAGCTAAAGGCTCCCGCAGCGTTAGAGGCACGCCTTACGATGGGATTTTTGTTGCACTCATTGTCGAGGAACGTCACAAATACGACATTCTAGCTAGCGGCTTTGACGGCATGTACACGTACTTTGCCTCGAACGGCTTCTCGTTTGGCTCGTCTCACCAGAACTGGAAGGCCATCAAGGCGTTCTGTGACGCAAACAATTTGCTGTTCATCCCAAGCGTTGGTCCCGGGTACGTGGATACTGCCGTTCGACCGTGGAACAACCATAACACCAGGAACCGTGTTAACGGACGTTACTATGAGACGTCCCTGCAGGCAGCTTTGTCTGTCCGTTCAGAAATCGTCACCATTACGTCCTTCAACCAGTGGCACGAAGGCACACAAATAGAGAAGGCTACGCCCAAGAAAACTGTGACCCGTTTGTATCTAGATTATCAGCCTAACCAACCAGACCACTACTTGGAGCTAACACGCCAGTGGGCAGAGAACTTCAACAAAGAGAAGGACAAGTGGCTGATGTGAGCGTCAGCTGAGTGGACGGTCTGAGCATCGCTACAACATGATGTTGAGCTCGCTGCCACACCTCTGTGTTCCTCCACACAAAGTTTCCGCTCAGCGCTCTCTTCCTGTTTCGACTGCCTGTCATTTTTGTACATGTTAATAATGACATGCACATGTTGATGCTTCAGGGTCGCAGTGATAAACAGCTAACACTGGTTTTGTGAGTAGTGTGGTTCTGACTACTAAAACCATGTGGATGTGTACAGTAACTCTACTACTCTGTGAGGTTTATGTTGTATTATCCAATGCTCCAGACTGTTCTTTCCTGTCTTTCCATGGTGACAAATTAAACTGTGTGTCTGTTTACAGTTGGACAATCAGTTGCTGATGTGAAAAAGGTCTTAGGCTGCGTTCACACTGCAGGGGAAAGCGCATCAAATCCGACTTCTTTGACCCTCTGCGACCATCTATCCCATCATGGTGTGACGGTGTGAACGGCACAAATCCGATATCTTCAAATCCGATCTGGGTCACTTTGGTATGTGGTGCTGAATCCGATACATATCTGATGTTTTAGAAAGCAACTGCTGTTTGAAGGTCACGTCGCATTAAATCCGTCTTTTACGTCACCGACACAAGACAGACGCCAACTATCAGCGCCCGACATGGTGAACGCTTCTATCCAGGGAAACTGCTGGGAAGACAGCGTTGGAGAAACGTGAACATTTTCTTTGTACTGTATAATCTGCAGATTCTGACAGAAATCTGCAGCTAGAAGCAGCGCTCCTCTAAAACAGCAGTAAGGATCATTATTAGGACAAATGTAAATAACAAAACTTTATAACTTAAAGCAAAACTGGGAAACGTAAAGTCTGAAGTCTTTACATTAAGGCCATCAGTCACACATCCTGTCGCTCTGGGTGTAAACAGAGCGTCGTGTGTGACGTCTTCTTTTGTGCACGCGGCCGCTCTGAGCGTTCACACTAGAGCGCGTTTGCTGTCGCATTTTAATTGTAGTGTGAACGAGCAGACAAAAAAATCAGATTTGATCAAAAGATCAGAATTGAGCATCAAGACCTGCAGAGTGAACGCAGCCTAAGAAAGATGTGACGTGAATAAGATGCTCAGTCCAGATGTTTTTTTAAATCACCTAATTTCTTACTAATTTGACTAAAGACATATGAAACCAGAAACTCTTTGTGACAGGGAAGAATCAGTGAGCTTTGAGCTTTTGGTTGTCAGAGACCAAAAGTTATCCAGAGCGTGCAACACCCCAAACTCTTGGTGAGCACATGCGATCGCCAGCTGATTGCACTCACTGGTTGTCTTGTGGTTGTCAGTGTGTCTCCAAATAACTGCCATCTAAAATATAAATGCAGATAGGCTGCAAGCACATTGCAATCAACCCGAGTTCACTGCTAATGCAACACAGCTTCACATTAGGGATTTGCACAGACCTGGTGTCAGTGTTCAAAGCGACAGCATCATGGCTTTGCTGCACAGAGTGCCATCATTTGGTCTCCAGCCGCCGTTTCCCCAGTGCAGCAGTTCTCTGTTCCTGCTGCTCCAGAGTGGCCAGAGATGAGTCATCGCAGCTTCATTCTAACATCTCAGAACTATCGATGTACACGTTTGGAGTGAATTTGACAGCTGGGACATGCTTTAGCTGCCTGAGTTTAGATGAGCAGCCAGCCACGAGTCAACAGTCACTACAAGAAAGTTTCCTGTGCTAATGGGCTTTCTGAAAAAGATGCTTCAAAGTTCTGATCACAGAGTCCTACTTGACATAAGCCCCAATATATTTGTCACTCCTTGGAGTGATACTGGAGTAAACTGGGGATGTTTTGCTTCTTAGCCAAATGTGTAAAACACTGCACTATGGAGCCACAGTAGTGAGCTGGTCCTCTAACAATGGCCACTTCTTTCATGTACGTCCATCAGTTACATGTAAGAGCAGGGAGTTAAACGGTCTGTGAAGAAAATCTGAGAGAGTTTAAGAGATAAAAGAGGTGTGATGAGCATCAGGGGGCAAAAAAATCAAACTGGGATCGATGGAGAACCTGCTGGTGTCACTGTCGGACACACCAGAGCTAACGGTCAGTGCAGGGGAACATTTTAATGAGGTCATCAAACCTGCTGTGGTTCTCATAATGAGACAGAAAACAGAACAGGGTCGTCTGTCTGGTTCCAAAGGGAGCAGACGTTTCTGAGGACACACAGGACCTTCAGTGATTAAATATTGTAGAAACTTCCATAAAACTAAAACTGATGTGGTATTTATTAGACATTAACTTGATATGTTTTTATATCTGAGATTGAGCTGGCACGCTGGACTTCTCCAAGATGCCAGAAATAATCAAGAAATTAATTTCAGGAACAAAAGTTGATGAATAATAAAAAATAAATTACCAGTACTGTCAATTTGAGGCAGTTGTGGTGAAATACATTTGTTAACCAGTGTCTCTCCAAAGCAGCTTTGCTAAACTGTGTTTAGGATATCAAACATCAGCATCTCAGGTCTTTTGGATATTTCCTGCATTTTTCCCCTTTCAGATTAAAAGAAGACACTTTCAAGCTGTTTTTATCAGAATGTGTTTTCATACGGTCTGTAGAGCAGCTTTCATTGTGTAGATGAGGGTTTTTGTGTAATTAACCTGATGGCAGTATTTCGGTGGCGTGCAGTTGGAAGAGGAACACATCAGCAGACAAAAGCCAACCAGCCGACATCCAAGCAGCCCGGCTCGTGTGAAGGACTCACTGGAGCAAAGCTGGTCCCTCAGGACGACCTGTTGCCTGGCTTTAATGGCTCTGCCTGTGCCCATGAAAACGAGATGTTCGTGCTGCTGGCGAGTCACCAATCACTGCAAATGTACAGCGTAGCAAGAAACGATTTTTGGAATATCAACAAATTAAATCCATAGTAAAAAAGAAATTTAATCCCAGTGAAGCTGAATTACAAACACCACCAAGTGTGGTACAATTTTTTAGTCTAAAACCCCCCAAATTATTGTCTAAAATATACAGAACACTTTCTAAAATAGATGAATCAATATCCCTTCCTATTGCAAAATGGGAAGTGGATTTATCGATCAGCTTAGACCAAAACCTTTGATCTCAGATATGCTTAAAAACCTTTCAATGGATCAGAAATACCAGTTTGCAATTAATACAATACAAAATATTACATAGAGTGCACTATACTGGTCATAGGATGTTCAAGATGGGCT